AGGCATCCTCTCCTTGCAGCTCCCTACTTTCTGCTGCCTTCAGCCTCTTTCTGTCTGTTCTCCATAAGGTGCTGGCACAGGAGGAGAGCCCCTAACACCACCGGAACGGTGCCAGTCTGGTGGGGAGGAGAGGTGAGGTTATTCTATCTCACTAAAACTCAATTTATTCACATATTCAGACACTGAAGTGCTCTTGCAAAATGCCTCTTCAAGCAAGTGGATTTTTGGTGCAAAAAGCGTTCATCAAAACTTTACTTTTCTTTTTAAAATGAGGCAATTTTTCCTCAAGGATAAACTGCAAAGAAAAGTCTTGTTTAGTTTATTTATTGCTTAATTCAACAGAAAAGATGCCAACTGCACATTCTGAAAGCTGTGACGTTAAGGAAAATAAGGAAAAAAATAATCTTCTGTTGGGCAAAATATCTTATCCTACACATTATTGCTTAGATTTGATGTTGCATGTGCACAGCATGAAAGACATGAAATAAATTAGGCATATGTGGGGCAGTCTGTAGGTAGGTGACCTTTTGCTAGGCGTAATTAGCTTCTGCACGAGGAAAAAGTCTTTGTTGCTTTACAGTAATGGAAGTGTGTGTGTGTATGGTTGTGAATTATTTTTTCAGCCTTGGGTTGATATTTTCCTGAACTGGACTTAAAAAATGACAGAACAGTCATGTGCAGCATTCGAATGTGCATGCACTGGCAACTGATAAGTTGGAATTGAAGCACTTGACAATATTGGATAAAAATCTCTGCCTAAACGTCGCAGAAGGAAAAGCATCAAACTGGAAGGAGGAAGGAGATTTGTTGCAGAAAGGAGTGTGAGTGAAAAATGAGACAGCTGCACTGGGGAAAAAAAAAATGTTACTGTGCTGAGTGCAAAAAGCTTTTTACTGTAGGACAAAATGGCAAAAAACTAACAAATCTCTGCAGTTTTTTGTTTATTTATTTTTTTGTAAAATTTACCATTAATACAGTACTTTGCAGTTACTGTAGTACCAAATATGCAAGTTCAGATGAAAGATTAAGTAAATGTTGGCTTATGAGCAACAAAATGTCATTAAATTGCTTATTTACATAAAAAAAAGAAGGTAAGGTGCAAAAGCAATGCGTGGAAAACATTAATAGCTTGTAGTAATCCGTACAACCTTCTTTGTCTCGATTTTTTGTAGAGGAATTTTGGCCCACTCATCTTTACAATCATGCTTCAGACTTCAGTTTCTCAGCTTTTGCAACATTTGAGTCAGGTTGAGGTCTGGACTTTGACTGGACCATTGCATCACACTGACTCTATTCTTTTCAACCACCCTGTTGTAGATTAGCTGCTCTGTTTGAGATCACTGTCTTACTGAATGACCCAGTTTGAGACAAGCTTCAGTTGTTGGATAGATGCCTCATATTTGACTCTAAAATTAGCACACAGAGGAGTTCATGGTCATTTCAGTGGCTGCAAAACAAGCCCAAATCATCAACCCTCCACCACTGTGCTGAGTGCCGCAGTGCATTAAGACCAGTGATTTATTTGAACTGGATCCTGCTGGAACATGATACTGGAACTCTCTCATTTTGACCAGGTGCGTTCCAGCAACTGTTTGCTCGGATCCGGCAACTTAAATGTCCGCCCCTAAAAGCCCAAAGTCATCACGCATTTTTCTTTTGATTATTTATTAAAAATACAACGACAGGACATGTTGCCCAGACTGTGGAGTGGATACTGTATTACGTCTGCACCAGGCACACCAGCTCATGCACACGCTCCTGCCTAGCAGAGACATGGACGGCATGTCCCGCGAGAATGAAGTGTCTTCCTTGATATGGCAAGCCAAGTGGCCCATTAATAGCTAGACATGTGGTAAAAGTGGCTATTAATAGGCCACTTGGCTTGCCATACATTACGCACAGCAGCGTCTCCAGACAGCTCTGAGTGTGCACAACTTATGATGTGAACTCACGCATATGTTTCAGACATAATAAATAAAAAAGCTTAGCTACAGTAAAAAAAAATACAACGAGAGAAATGTTTGATGAGCATTATTCACAATAATCATATATCAAAACAACGGCGCTAATTTGTCAAAATAACAGCGATCAAAATGTTGAAAAGACAGTCCAATTTACTTTCATAAAATAAATGGATGGATTGTCCTTAGTTGGACAACCGAGAAGGCAGTCGTAATTGAGATTGGAGCAGCAGGAGCAACAACGCAGGAATGATTTCAGCGGAGAAGAGTTCAACTCAGAAACGTGAAGTAGGGGGAGGAAGTGTGTGTGTGTGTGTGGGGGTAGGACGCTTGACAGAATCGAGGCTGCTCTTTTCACACACAACCTGTTGTTGCTCTCTAAAATAGTAATTAAATCAAGACTTTACAAATGTAGGTAAACGTAGATGTTTAACAACCTGTTAAAATAGGCTACACCAAAATGCAGGAAATAGCATCTACTTTATTCAAAAATTTAAAGGGGAGGAAGACCTACAGGCTCCCTCCACTTCTCACGCTCCCCCCCAAACCACCATTTGCATTCCAGCATCGATCAATCTACAAATCAAGGCCTGATTAAGACAAAATATTTCCACACTTGTCTCATTTGTCCAAAGGAAATTTGACATTTTAACCAATATTTTAACTGTTATTTGGACAGATTTAACTCTCTTCTACTTAACATTTATATCTTGCTCAATAGTTTTTTTTTTTTGATTGTTTTGTTTTAATTTATACTCTAAACCAAATGTCAATGAAAATGCAAATGGTTCTCTGTTATGTTGGTTTAGTCACAGTAAAATATATTTAGGTCCTAAACAGTGATGGTAGGGATATTAACCTGACTGCATAATGCTCAGACTTGTGTCGTGTTGAGATTTTATGCAAATTTTAACACGTCTGTTGTCTTGCTATTCTGCCTTTTGACAAAAAAAAAAAAAAAAAAAAAAATGAAACCACTAAATAGTTTTGTTGTAGTAAGACCAATGGATGCCTCTGGCAGACGATTTCCTTTAGAAAACTACAAGGAACAAGGAAATAACGTACAAAAATTTAATGGAGACAAAAGAGGTATGGAAATAATAATGCTAGAAAAATCACAAGAGCAGGAACAATCACATGAAGCACTGAGGCACATGGAAGACGAGGAAAAAAAAACCCCACCAACGTGTTGAGGCAGGAAGATAAAAATGAGAGTGAAATAAAGAGGGAGAGACGGAGAGGAAGAACGAGTGGTGGAGCTGGTGGTGCAGGGCGAGGGTTTGTTAACCTGGTGCGACGGGGCATGTGCTTGTAAATAAACATCAGCCTGAGATTATTCTGAGCACGGAAGCTCAGACCGTGAGGCCCCGAGGTCAGAGTGGGCCCATACCTGGCTCGCTCAGTCGAACACACAAACACGTCCACATCCAGTCCTACAAAGACCTTGTGTTGAGAGCAAAACCAATTCAAATACTTGTGCATGTAAACAAATATGTAAACAAACATGTAAACAGGCATGTCCTTTGTTTGGGGTATAAAACCCCTTGTTCATGCATAAAGTCCTACACAAATAGGTCTCCACATGCAGACATGCGAACATGTTAACTGAAAAATGAAAAGTACACACAGCTGCAGCAACCACATAAACTTTTATGTTTCATATAAAATGAAATATTTCATAACAGCATGCACGCACAGAGTTAACCTCCCAGATGTCTGCAGACATCCAGTCATGCCAGGCTCAGACACTCTGTGTCATCCATCTCATTTTTTCCCATTGTTTTTAGAAAAGTGGGTGATGAGTTCAGACATCGGGATGTGGAGTTATTCTCAGTCAGACAATATAATAAAATAAATGCACAGCACATCCAGGCTAATGTGCTGACTACCTCACATCCTCAAATTCAAAAAATGTTAGGAGTGAGTCTTTGTCCTCTTGTATGACCCTCCTTATTTTAAAAGTAGCTTGCCTTTTTAAGATGATTTTGGCAACAAACAAACTTTTTTGTTTCAAAGTATTTGCAGGATGTACGAAGTGAAAATGATGAGTCTAGGGATGCACGATCCACTTTATATGGTTTATTTGAATTTCAATGTATGGTAACACTAATGCTGAATTATTTTCTGATTTTAATTCAAGAGGATCAAGCTATTATTATTCAATAATAATAATAATAATAACCCAATCAGAGGCCAACACATTGAGCATTCAGACAAACAGTAAGATGATTGAAGAAGCTGGACACAGGCTCATGAGGATGAGCAGATAAGGCCTCGATCCACATGAATAATGAGGAAACAGGAGCAAAACATCCTTGGGAGGAATGTAAAGTGACTTCTATGAGTACAATATTTGGTGTTTTACTAAGACATGTTCATGAAAAGATACTAGAGTGGGACAGAAAGAGGTGGGGGATCAGACAGGCTTGCTGGTGCCCATCTCAGTAGCCCTCTTTACTAAACTTTCAGCCGTGGTACTGTGCTGTGATCACAGGGAATTTTCTGCTCCTGGATTTTAAACTTTTCATATTTACCTAAATGTTTAACATTAAAAATTAAAAACAGACTTCAAAACCTTTGTGCGTCACGAAAGGCTCCAGAACAGGTTCAGTTTTGTGGGGTTTGTATGCATGTTGAACGCTTTTTAAAAAGTGGACTTCTCACGCCCATTGCAAAAATAGCAACATCAGACAATTTACTTAAATTACTTGAATTAACGCCCTTCTTTTTAACTAACTACGAACACAGCTATTAATTTGTTACGACGTGCTAACTTTCGATAAACCTTTCTTTTCAGTAGCCATTAAATATGTGCCCCTCCCTGAAACTTAGAGGGATGAGTTTCATCTGGATTACTGGAGCGGTGCAGTTGTGAACGGAAGATATTTTGGCTATGACGTTGAGAAATCGTTATATTTTTGACGCGTTTTCTAACCATAAAAGTTCCTACATGAGCACAATAAATCAGATTTTACCCTTAGACAAAACTTAAACTAACAAACGGTTGCAAAGTTAAAGCTGTCCGGTGAATGTACTTACTGCTCAATGCTTGGGGAGAGGTAAAGTTTAGGGAAGACTTGGGAAGCTTCAGCATCCTCAAAGCTCACCGAGAGAAGAGCCACATCTTCCCCTGGGTCCAGAGCTGTGTCCTAACAGAGACAAAGACAAGTTTGTAAAATTATTTAGCACATTTTGGCCACAACATCTAATTTCAAGTCCTATTAATTAGCCAGTGCATTTGCTACAATGTACAAATTGTTTTCAGATATGAATTTTTCACTCAACTTCCAAAAGAAATTGGTTAGAAATGCTCTGCCAGCCTTTATGGTACTTGACGTTTAAATCTGAGTGTAGTGTTTTAATAAACTTGATTTATTTGAATGCATGAGTGGCGCAGAGGTTAGAGAAGACGGCCTGTGATCAGAAGATGCTGGTTCAACTCCCGGTACTGACAACATCAAAATATTGTGGCTCCACCCTCATTTGTCCCACTCTGGGCCCTTGAGCAAGGTCCTTAACCCCCACCATCTGCTCCCCTGGGCACCCTAGATGGCAGCTCTCTGCTCCACACAGAGGGATATGGTACCTCGGTGGTCTGCGGTTGTGGCAGGAAGGGATGGTGGGGAGACTGACTCCAACTTATATACTTGTATACTAACTTATATAATACTTAGTTCACTGCAGCGACCCCGAAGAAGGGAGCAGCCGTAAGGAAAATAAAAAATAAAAAATTGAATGCGTGACTCTAAGCATAATCATGTCATGAGTCATGCAAGCCAAACTGCTGACAACCAAAATTAAAATATTTGTGATTGAAAGTGCTCATCTGGTTTAGCTGAATGCTAGTCAGTGCCTGTAGAGCCACTTCTTTTCTTCCCTTGAATCTTTTATTCTCGCTTCACCTGTCTATTTTGTTGTTCCAACATAAAAAAATATGCTTCTATATTTACCAATAACTGCGAAATTGAGCAGGGAATTCTTTCAAATGTACGTTAAGTGCGACCTAAATTTGCAATTCACTTGTTTCCTATTTTAGGTGCATAACTACAGCAATCGTGTTCTGGGTTGGGAGTGGTACCAAAATGCAAGTGACCTAAGCTCAGTGCTGCAGCTGAATAAATTGTTTGTAGATACGAGCGGTTGTGGTTGAGTGGTTAGAGCAGTCGTTCTCCAATGCAAGAGTTGGGTGTTCAAATCTACCAGCAGTCACTTGCCGAAGTGTCCCTGGGCAAAACACTGAACCCCTCATTGCCTCTGATGTGTGTCCCATCAATGTACAAATGTGATAAAGCTTTGATTAGTCTCTTTAGAATGATTTGTTCAATTAGCTTTGTAGAGATCTAGTAGAGTGCTGTATGAATGGGTAAATGAGGACACAGATTGTAGTGTAAAGTGCTTTGAGTATCTTGGTAAGATAGAAAGGTGTTATACAAGTACAGTCCATTTACCATTTACCATACAGAAGAAGTACTAAAGTTGCCACTGTTGCTATGCTGCTTCAACAACGTCAGCTGTTACACCAACAGAAAATCTACAAAATCCATTTAAAACTAATGGAGTGCAAAAAAAAAAGATGGCTTAATGTGATTTGAAATGCTTAAGATTCAGAGGCGAAAACTGCTCTGATACACAAGCACAGGAAATTTTCTATCCAAAACACAGAATGAGACAGAAAAATGGGCAGGAAAGACACCAGAAGAAACATCCGTTTTGTTTCAAGCAACATTAGCTTTAACAACTGCATCGTGAGGCTGAGCTGATGACTGGGAGCACCAATCAAATCATGTGTGAGATGGATGCAGAGACCACCCGGAGTTGCTCGCTACAAACCTCATCTGTCTCTGTGAGGTTCTAATTTCTCTGTCTGTAACATTTTTCCTAGAGCGTGGCTACTTCTCAGGCACTGTCGTTAGAGCAATTCCACATCTAGGACCATTCTGAATTCCCTCGGCCGTTAGGGGCTCTGTAGCGTTAATCAAATGTCTTACAGATGGTTTGAACTCATCCATTTGTTATAATTGCTGCTCTTTGTGGTGAGAGGAAATCTAGCCACCATACATGATGGACAGAGGCAACCAGTTTGCTGCGATGCAACCCCTATCCAGATCAGACTATTAACTAATCACATGCTTTGGTCTGCTGACTACAAATCTAAAATAACCACAGCTTTAGGAAAAACAAGACTCAGTGAGAGGAGAAAAAAAAAACATCTTGAGTGAACATTTCCTTTCCCAAGTAGAGTGGAAATAATCTTTCAGCAGACAATTTGATGACTTTGTTTAATTGAAGCAAAACCTAATCAGATAGAAAATAATCAATAAAAATGGTAGCAGCTGTCAGCATGAGATGAAAAAATACATTTAATTAGCGGAACATTATTTATTGTAATACACCCAGATATTAGTAGCTCTGCAGACTATCACAGTCTGCCCAGCTGCAGCAGTTACATTAGCAGCTAAAAGACAGCCGAAGAAGAAGGAAGGCAGCGAAAGACGGCATCCAAAAGTGTTGCCTGATGAAATCAGCTCACATCAGTGTTGTGTGCATCAGTAAACAAGAACTGCTCTCTGCCTTAGAGCAGCACTCACGGCTTTCCCTGCTGACGATATGAGACAGATAAGAACAGGCGTGGAAATGAAAGGCCTGGGTGGGGAGTGGGGTTCAGGAGAACATTGGTTTGCTCCAGTTTGTAGCTGTCATGTCTCATTCTCATCTGTAGAAGTGATTTAATTGATGCTTTCTTTGCACTGGGTAAGAACAAACAGATGGATGAGAACCAACAGGAAGGTGAGGGGGCCGGAAGAGGAGCATGGGACAGCTCTGCACGAGCTGCACTGGACCATCTCTCGATTTGATCCGACCAAGGGCTCTGTTGATGGGAAAGACCTTTTTGTGGAATGATTCAGACTTTTCTTGTTCCAGAAGACAGTGAAAAGCTGTCACAAGTCATACCGAATCAGTGAAACAAACGAACTAAAGGCAGACCCTTTAACTTTCAACTAATGCTATTCTAAATGAATGCACTGTCTGGAGAGATGAAATATACAGATAAATATAGTAGTTCTTTATTGGAGTCTAATTATGTGACTATTATTTGTCAACATTTGTTTGTAAAATTGAAAAGCAACTATTATGCCTTGCAGACAAAAAACATCTAAAAAAGATGAACGTTTACAGTATATTAGTAATTTATTTTTGTCTCTGCAGTTTTCACACAAATGCTACTTCTCAACTTCTTTGTTTAACATACAACCAAGTAATTTGTTAATTAGCAATGGGAACATTAGTATTTTTGCAAGTACAAAGTCATTAATTAGTACTTTGGAATTGACTGAACTGAGTTAGAATGTGACAACTTGGAATATTCATAGGAAATTAAAAGGCAAATACTGTGTAATATTCAATTTGAATGGCTAAATTGATTTTAAATCCGTTAACTCAGTGGTTCTCAAACTGGGGTCTCTGGACCCCCGGGGGTTTGTGAGCCGGTGCTGGGGGGCCCCCCTCTCCCCCACAAAACTTTTTCTTTTTTTTTTTTTACAAGCACGTAGATGTTTAACAATCTGTTAACATACACCAAAATGCAGGAAATCACATCTACTTTATTCAAAATGTTCTGGGGGAGGAACCCCCCCCCCCCCTCTGTCTGCCCACCTGCTATTTGTGTTTCGGTATTGATCAGTTTTCAAATGAAGCCCTGTTACTTGGTATGACTACTGCTGTTATAATTCTGTTCAGTTTTATGTAAAAGGGTTTTCTGTAATAACCTGAAGATGTGGCGATACATTTATTGTGTTCATTATGTGAATATGTAAAGTTTTAAAGTGGCTTTTGAAACTGTTGATTTTCTCAAAACAGTAATTTCTGGAAGTTGAAATAAAAAAAAATTGTTAATTAAGTGCGTCTTGAATGAATGTTTAAACGTATAAAAACTGTATTAACAGCTTATGCTACACAAATATTTCCATTGCATTAAAGAGACAAATTGAAGAAAATTATTTGATAAACATGAGTGTAATGAGGGGGTCCCAGAAACTGTTTCTCCCCTGTAAGGGAGTCCCTGAACCCAAAAAGTTTGAGAACCCCTGCGTTAAATAAATGGTAAAAAAATACTTATTTTACATTAAAAAGCAAATGTGAGTGCAGAACAACACAATGAATAACACACAAACAAAACTAAATGATAATGAACAACAAGAACAAAAATACACAATGTTGTGTAGCTGCAACAGAACATAACTCACATTTTTTGTGCTGCCATTGGAATGAACAAATAAGGTCAAGGACTAATGCAGGACTCACTTAAATCTGGCAGACAGCAAGAAAAAAGTATGCAGCACTACCAGCTTACCTATTTAACTTTTAATATGTTTTTATTTCTAAGGAGAATACAGGAAAAAAACTTAAATAGTCCAAGTATGTTTCAGTTTTGGCTTCAAACTTTTAAGATGAATCAAAACAGAAAAAAAAACAAAAAAAAAAACAAGAATATCAGTTTTATAACTTAAAGCCTATAGGTCCAAATATAAAGTTAAGACTAACTTTATATATATACTTTTTTAACTGCAGGGCTTATAAAAAATTCCATTAAATCAGAAAGACTGACGAAACTGAAAAAGCAACACTCTGAGTTGCAAAAGCAATAAAGTGCAGGTCCCAACAAGCATTTTGCCAATCTTTCACAGGGCAGTTATGACAATTAAGCCCACAATTATACACCACCCAATGCTTCTTGTGCTGTAGCTGCAAAGTAATTGAAGTTGCAGAACAGTGACTATAAAATTCCCAAGATAAAAACCATCCCTAGAAAGATGCAAACAGCTCAGCTGTGGTGCAACATCAGCATAGACACTCGCCATTCAAAAAAACACTCCAACAAAGTCCTAGATTGTTGGAACACATCCCTGTAAGTTTTGTTTTTGATCAAAACGTTTTATTTTAAAGGTTTGTTATGTTATTGTGACAAAATAAATCACATTTAGCTGAATATGCTTAATAAGGATTTCAGTTTATTAACAAAAACAATGACACACCCACAGTGAGTCCCACACGATTGTGTTCTTGGACTTTTGAATTTAAATATGGTTTCATTACGTTTTATTGTTAAACAGTACAGAATATAATTACATTAGGTAGATAACGTTCAGCT